TAAAAATAAGAATAATTGTTTAGAAGTAGTTAAATATATTTTTTTATTGGGTGGTTTAAAAACTAGATTTCGTGTGATTTTTGTTGAGTTAGTAGATGAATTTTATAGCACACTACTATATATTATACCCATAGCTATTTATACCTATAGCACATTTGGTCTAAGATCCGGCTGCAGGATTAGTGCACTCATCTGTTATTTGCTAAAAACCAAATTTTTATGTATATGACGGCGCCTGTACCGCCGTACGCGCCTATAGCAATAATTTGTGTAAACAACACCTGCATCGAGCACGTCACAGCCGGTTTTTCAAGTCTCCCCACTCTCCCCACTACTGAGTCTGTCGTTATAAATGGCGGAGCGAGCATTACGGAGGCAGTTTTCGACCGAGTCTGGCACGCGGGGCTGGTGCACAGGCTCCTCAGCTCTGACTTCCCGCGGCGCGTGGTGGCGATCATCAGCTCCTTCCTCTCCGACCGGCGTTTCTACGTCTCCGTCGAGGGGGGTCAAGTCGAGCTGCCGGCCGATCGCCGCGGGGGTCCCTCAAGGAAGCTGCCTCTCTCCTGACCTATATTCAATTTATACCAATGACGTTCCAGTCGCTGCGGGGTGTGCGGTGGCGCTGTATGCGGACGACACCGCCTACACCGCCTCCTCACTCAATGCGCGCCACGCAGCAACCAAGCTCCAGAGGTCGCTGGACGCCCTCCCAGTCTGGCTGGCAGAGCGGCGCCTCACGGCGAACGCCGCCAAAACACAAGCTATCATCTTCGGGCAGGGGAGAAAGCTCCCGCCGCCGCTTACCCTGCAAGGGGCCGAGGTTCAGTGGCGCCCCCAAGTCACCTACTTGGGCATCACGCTGGACCGAGGCCTCACGATGCGCCCGCACGTCGCCGCAGCCGTAGGCCGCGCGAAGGCGGCCGCCGCCAGACTGCGCCCGGTGCTCCAGTCGAGCCTCCCATTACGACGTAAACTGGCCCTATACAAGACCTACATCAGACCACACCTCACGTACGCGGCGCCCGCGTGGTATGCTCTCGCGGCCGAGACGCACCGGCGTCGGTTACGCGCCGTGCAGAGCACCACCCTGCGACGTATCGTCGACGCGCCGCGTTACGTGAGAAACGCGACTATTTCGAGAGACCTAAGACAGCAAGGTCTGGACGACTTTATCGGCGAGCTGGCGAGGCGCATGTTTGAGCGTGCGGACGCCTCCGGCTTCGAGCACCTCCAGCGCCTCGCCCCGCATCATACACGACCTCCAGACCACAGGCGAGCCTTCCCGCGCGAGCTGGTTCGCGCGGAGTCAGATGAATCTCAGTGACACAATTACAATTATTATAACATCAACATCCAAGACAAAAGGGCTGGACCCCTCCCGTCGGCGTCGCGGAGCGCGCTGAGGTTTCGTCCGCTGGTCTGCCTCGCTGGGCTTCCCCCGGGTAACCGAGGGTCTCACCCGGTGTGGTACGACCGCGCCCACGCGCGCCCGTTGCCGCCACGGGGGGGCGCCACCAGCCCCACCGACATGAGACAAGAGGCGCTGCGCGAGCGAAGACGCTCCGCAGCGCAAACGAGGTTCAGGGCCGCTCCAGGCCCGCCCCAACGACCATCCCGCCGTTGAGCGGGATGCGTATCCCGCAACCCCCCGCAAGCCCATGGGCGTAACGGGGTTCCCAGCGCCACTTAAGGGTGATTGCGCGGAAGATAGCAGTAACGGAGGCAGTATTGGTCGCTTCGCGTCTTCGGTGATTGGACATCGCGTTTGAAGGCTGCAATTTATGAGCGCGGGTTTACCTGCGGCCGTCCGATAGCCACCTAACGGTGCGAAACGGTTATCGAACGGTTAACGCCTTGTGCGGGTGTTTTGTCCGGGGTGCATACACCGTGCCTTTTTCAAGGCGCGAATCAGCCCCTCCGCTTCCTCCAAGTCCTGTGCGCAGCCGGGCCTCTTAGTAGGCACTTATTAGGGAGTAGGCACGCCAACTACTTTCTTGAAACCGGCTTCAATCGGGTCCACTGTTGGACGGGTCCTGTCACATCCGCAGGGGCTCTATTTACCCAAACTCCTGCGGGCTGGTTAGGTCTGTGACAAACCTCACCTCCGCTATCACCAGCGGAGACACATACATATTAGGGCAAACCACAGCTTAGGTACTCACACGTTAGACGTAGGTACACACTCACCGCCAAACTGTCTGGCTTCCCGCCTACAGGATGGCGTCTGAGGCTCAACTCCCCGACGATTTAAAATTATTTTTAAACTATTTAAGAGATAGATATCCGGATATCATTACGGAATTTTACGAGTCGCAATGTGCGGACTCACCACGCTCGCCGTCCCCGTCGCCGTTTAGGACGATGAAAAATGCCTCCGCGAAGGCACCGCGAAATAATAATAAAACCTCACCCGACCAAACCCGCCCTCGCTCGCGCTCGCGCTCACCACTCTCCGAAGTGGAAAGCGTAAGCGATGAGGAGGCGGAAAATCTAGCGCGTCCATTGTCGGCAATGTCGGCCCAATCCGCTCCGGCGGAAACGGTTGACGAAGCCGTATTATCATCATCTTCTGAATCCGACGGATTTCAAACCGTCGGACGAAAGAAAAAGCGCTCGGTAAACGGCGGTCCTCCCGCAAAAAGGCCTACTCAGCCGATAAACCCTCCGAAGAGGGATTTAAGTTCGTTGTTATCGGACAAACCTGCGCCCTCCGCCCCCGCGGATCGCATCAAAACCCCTCCGCCCGTTTATGTTAGGGACAAGGGCGTATGGCCCTCCCTTTCTAAGCTTCTCGACACTAAGTCGATTAGTTACAAAGCCCGAACTTTGAGGGATAACATTTGCATACAGGTGTCCACACCTGAGCACCATCGTTTTCTCACCTCATACCTTCGTTCCGAAGGTATCGGTGGTCACACTTTCCCCTTGCCCGAGGAGCGCGTCCTTAGGGTAGTTATCAAGGGCATCCCGAAGGAAATAGACTTCGGGGTCGTCCAAGTAGATCTGACCGAGCAGGGATACCCCGTAAGGGATGTATTCCGTATGTTAAACCGCACCACCAAAGAAGAGTACGATATGGTACTCGTAGTCTTAGACCCTACTCCGAGCGGGAAAAAGATTTTTAACCTTCGGGAGTGTTGTAAGCTCTCGGGGTTGAGGGTTAAAACTCCCCTCAAACATTCTTTCACACGGCAGTGTCATCGCTGCCAACTCTACGGGCACGCTGCCCGTAACTGTTTTGCAAGGGCGCGATGCGTCAAGTGTTTAGGCGACCATGGCACATCGGACTGCAAGCGTACTCTTCCGTGCGCTGAGCCGCCGGCATGTGTGCTTTGCGGGCAACATGGGCACCCTGCGAATTATCGCGGTTGTCCTAGAGCCCCCAAGGCGCATAAGCCGCCGTCTAGGCGCATGGTGGGACGCGATGCGGCCCGTCGTGGCACGGGAGCAAAGCCCACTTACGTGCCGGCCCCGCCTCCCGAAATTAGTCCCTGGGCCAAGCCCCCCGTTACGGAGGGCCCTCCCCAACTCACGGCAGAAGCCTTCCCGCCTCTGCCATCAAAATCGGCAACCGCAGTGCCTTCCCAGGTCCCTGCGCCAACCCCTATGATAAAAGAGAGGCCCACATTAAATGCGAGCCCTCCTACTAAAGCTCTCAGCCCTTCCGTGAAGGCAACTGAGGAGTCAGGCAGCGTCCGCGACGCTTTTAATCTTGCGTTCAGCGTAATAGACGCTATAGACTTAGACGCACTCGTCGCATTCGCGGAGGCCTTTAAGTCCGCTAAAACTGCATCCACCAAGGTGGAGGTAATAACCGAGCACGCCCTGCTCCTTAAGTCCGTGCGGCAATTTGTAGAATCCGGCACACCGCAATAGTTACGACCATATTACCCCTTCCCGACATAAAAGGCTCTTAGGAGGCCCAGGTACACATACACACTAAAGGATTCGGATGATCCAATTACCGTAGCTAACAATAAACTAAAAGCCGCCCGCGCGGCCAATAATAATAATCCAATAGCAAAACACAGATTAGGGTAAAAACCGCCTTCACCGGGGAAGGCGCGGATCTTTACTTCGCACTTCGCTCACTCCAGTGAGCTTTCGTCCTGCCCTTCAGGCGATTGACCACCCCGCGACGGCCCAAGCCGAGGTTCGAGTCTCACAGGAGACGCCCTTGCGCTAGTCGCGGGAAAAACGCCCATTCTGGCCGAGCTACGCTCGCCAACCAGCCCGTGCTGAGCTGTAAAGGCCCTAAAGGCCAACAGCGAGATTCCATTCTTAAAAAAAAAAAAAAAAAAAACGGAGGCAGTCTCGGCTCTAGCGAGGCTCGGTGCACTAGTTGTATCTTGCTAGCTTATCCTTGACTCTAATTATTCTAATTACTTTATGTATATTAGAAAGATTGATTGAAATAGAGTTATAATATGGAATTGGCATTTTATTTATTAATATGTCAGACCTAAATCCTACGTCAGAAGTGGGATGTAACAACACGACCCACATGGCGGTGACAGCAACGAAAAATGGCAGCGATTGTTGGAAGCTCAGAACCTGAATTTCATGGCGTTATTGGAGACCATGAAAACCCCTCAACTTAACGAAGCGATGCATTTATTTGATTTTAATCCGCACATGGATTACTACAGCGAGCATGTGCATGGAGGAGCGAAAAATTGCAGGGTGTTTCTCTTGTTATTGCCCTGAGCAAGGCTCTGAAAGGTCAAGCATCGGCGTGGCTTTCACAAGTGGCTTTTCCTGGAATGACGTAGACCGAATTTAAGGCGTTTTTTATCTCAAGGTACTACTATCAGGATACCAAACCTAAAAATGGCGAATCTGGCATCGTACGCGGCCACAATGTTAACATCAATAATGGCAAGATGAAAAAATATGACTACCGAGGAAAAAGCCGGGTCGAGTGTTCTCGCATATCTTTCACAATGTGAACGCGTGTTCAACTTTTGGCGTTTACAACTGAAATTGCGTCACGGGGCAATATGATAAAGGAGCTGCAGGCGGTGTCGTTTTTGAAGAGAAAACCTAACGTTGCTGAAGAACCTGACACGAAACAATTTAAGAGCTCCACGGCTGGCACTTCAACTGCCATTCAGTGCTTCAACTGTGGCAAGATGGGACACAAGTCTATGCGATGCAAGTTGAAACGCATTCCTAGTACATCAAGGGATGTGCGAAATCCAGCAACCTCATCCACCCATACCGTGCCCATGCTTCAACTGCAGAGATGTTGGACACTATGCGAAGAATTGTCCAAAGCTGAGCAACGCGGCTTCGAGCGCCGGTCACACTGGCGCACCTGCTGTGAGGGTGGATCTGTGCGAAGTTGCAGCACCCCTAGGAAGGTTGAGTCACTCGGGTGAGCAGTTTTCATTTTGTTACGATTAGGGTTCAGAATGAAAGAAACGATTTCTTGGAAATTTAGAGGCAGGCGGTCACACGAGACCGTGACTTTGACTGGTATAGGATAACCTAGGGTAAATAGTACTGTGCAGATTCTCGTGTTGACTCGACCAAGGTTAGGGTGACGAACTTTTCGGTTACTGTCGGACTTAGTGTTTTTAAAATAAAAAAAAAACGAAGAGCTTAATCAGAAAAAACTTGACTCTAAGTACAAAGGGCCGTTCAAAGTATCTGAAGTCATAGATGGTGATCGCTATCTTATTAAAGCTCTAGACTCTAAACGGACGTTCAAGTACGCCCATGATCATTTGCGAGGAATGTCTGAAGGTCAAGTTGTGATAGATGATTGTGATGTAACGAAGTAGATGTTGAGGCTGCTGGGCCTAGTGGTAGTCAATACAATGCTTAATAGTGCTCGATGGAGGCACCGGTGTAATGCTTGATGGAGGCATTCTTGTGGGGATGCTCGAGGGAGGCGTGCCCCGATGTGGTGGGTGGCTTGTGCTCGATAGAGGTACATTGCCATGGCGTTTGGTGACGCCAGTGTGTGTTGAAATTAAGCAAGGTGTTGATTCTGTTGATTTTGATTGATTCTGTTAAGATCGTGATAATGACCATAATAGACCTTCAGCATTTTCGCATCAATTATTTTTATTAGCTGTTATGTGTAAAGAACCGATAGTGTGAACGTGGATGGATCGTAATCGTAAAAACTAAAATATCATGCCATATCATGCTGACTAATGCAAATTAATTATCTTAAATTATATATTGAGTTACGGAACGATTATACATAGATAATAAATAACGACGACATGAAAAAGTGATAACGTTACAATTATTACAATAATATAGGATAAACAATATCAAATGTTACTTATCTGACTGCGATTGTGCTGTGTCCATTTTAATGGTCACTTCCAATTCCAATATAATATATACTAGTCATGATATTTTACAATAAACACTATGTTTTTTATCACATTGGAACGGGTTTTGTTGTATAGAAATCATTATTTTGGTTTAAATAAACACGACTCTGAAAAACATTATGCCATGACAGACAAAGCAACTTGTCGATAAAATAGAGCAAGCGCCAACTAGCGGCCCAGACTGTTTTACCAACGTTTGAACAGATATTCAGGGTGTCGGTTTTTTGTGACGGTGTGCATCGTCTGTTCATCATCTCTTATATTCCATCTTATGTTACCTAAAACTCCTTCCTATTTCAAAAACGATTTTAAATTTTGGGAGCCCATAGCCAGAGCCTCTTTAGAAAACTATATCCTTCAAACCCCATCTCAAAATTCTTTTTTGTTGAATCTTTTAAGGTTTTCTCTGAGTGACTAAAGCTATGGAATTCACTTTCTGTTTGTGTCCTAATCCTAATTGATCTGAAATTATCGTAATTCATGTGCAATTTTTCTAGATCATGTGTCCTTTTTTAATTATTGTCCCTTTCACTTTTTACATATTATGTTTGAATTTCTTTGCTTATTCCATTAGTTTTATCTAAGTAACTATTTTTACACTTCTTGCGCTCATCTTATCTATTTTTTATCCCCGGCGCGGTCGGAAGAGATCGCTCGAAAGCGATAAGGCCGCCAGTTGCTCCTCCTATTTATTGAATTATTTTAACTGTTCTATATTTCTGTATAATTGCACCAAAGTGTTCATATAAATAATACATTATAATAATAAAATAATGTAGATTTATAATAAAACACCAGTGCCTAACAGATAGAACTTAGTAGTAGTACTAACCATTTTAGGCTTCTATGCCTGACAGGCGATATTTTCCCTCTCGTACGAAGGAGGATTTTGCGCACTTAGAAAGATAATTCGAAAAAATAGTGCTTATACATTTATATTTACTATTTTATATACTGCCAGTTCTCAAATCAAGGGTACAGATAGAGGGACCATTTGACGCATGGACTAGATTTTGTAGAAGGTCCGCGATTATCCGCATCATACATAAAAATAAAATATAGCGACGTTTGTTATCTGCGGCAGAGATTATGCCCAATTAAAACACCACGTGGTCTTGAACAGATAAAAGGCCAATCTAACCCCTTGCTATCGTAGTATAAAACGTGAAGTGAAGTCAGTGACAACAGACTTAGTAATTTCAAAATGTATACACTAACATTTTTTGTATTATCGTATGTATTGACAGTAACAAATACAGCAAGGATCCTCGCGGTATTTCCAACTCCATCTGTAAGCCATCAAATTGTGTTTAGACCATTAATGCAAGAATTAGCAAGACGAGGGCATGATCTAACAATCATAACAGCTGATCCGATATACTCTACCGCCAACTCTCCAAAAAACTTTAAAGAAATAGACGTTCATGATATATCATACAGAGTCATAAAGGAAATTTTTACATACAATGTTAAATTGGGAAAGAAATCTGATATATTTGCACAGATTGAGAGTTTTATAGCTATGAATACTAAGTTGGCATCTGTTCAATTAAGGCATCAACGAATTCAAGATTTAATCAACGGACAAGAAAAATTTGATTTGATATTCGTTGAAGCCTGGCAAACACACGCTTATTATTATTCTCACATATTTAAAGCTCCAGTAATATTATTAAGTTCATACGGTATGTTTGGAAATGAAGATATTGCTGTTGGTGCTGCAACGCACCCGTTTTTGTTTCCAATACTAGTTCAACAAAGAACATATAATCTTACATTTTGGGAGAAAGCTGAAGAGTTATACAAAAACTTTTTTTTTCGAAGACTGTGGTCATCAATGGAAATAGATGATTGTAATCTTTGGCGACAGATCTTGGGAAAAAATGTGCCTGATTTCAAGGAAATCAATAATAATATCGATATGATGTTTTTGAACGTTCATCCAATGTGGATTAGTAACCAACCTCTGCCACCTAATATCATTACAATTTGGGGTATTTATAAAAACCAAAGAAAAGCTTTACCTACGGTAAGTACTGAAATACGCCGTAAAAAAACATAAAGAATAATGAAAAGCTATATTATGGGTTTGTTGTTAAAAGCATTAATTCATATAATTAATTTCAAACTTTGTTTTTATCCTTTGAACTCCGAAGAAGGCTTTTATGGAGAGAAAAAATTAATCTGTTTCTAGAGTTGTGAACGCAACATTTTAAATATCTTATTTTACAAGGTTTACGGGTTACGGTTACTTATATAAAACATAAACAACTAAATATCTTCTAATAAATACCTATAATTTTCAGGAGCTTCAAAATTATCTCGACTCATCCAAAAACGGAGTGATTTACTTAAGTTTTGGTTCCAACGTTCTCTCATCAGTTCTATCTCCTGATAGGATACAATTATTTGTTCGGGTGTTTGCTAGATTAAAGTACGACGTATTATGGAAATGGGAAAAACCAGAACTACCTGGTAAATCGGAAAACATCAAGATATCAAAATGGCTGCCACAATCAGATTTATTAAGTAAGTAGGTAATAAAGTTCTCGCCGTCTGGTCAATATTAACTTTTAAACATTAAATAAAACCTTTCTCAGGAATTTAAATGCGAATTCGTTCATAATTTTAGGTATTTGTAAACTCAATGTAGCAGAAGTCAAAATAAAATTATTTATAGATAAAATATACTTCAGTTTATTAAAAAATCAATATTTGCTGATTTTATTTTCTATTCTATTCTGTTACAATATAAACATAGCATTAGATCGCAGGTAAAAAAAAAACTGTTTTTAAGTTATTTCGATATGTTTTAGGACATCCAAATATAAAACTATTCATCACGCAAGGTGGTTTACAGTCCACTGACGAGGCTATAACTGCTGGAGTACCAACAATAGGAGTGCCGATGCTTGGAGACCAGTGGTTTAATTCAGAAAAATATGTTTATTTCAAAATTGGTATGAAACTTGACATGGAGTCCCTCACTGAAGAAGAATTAGAAACAGCTATTCATACTGTTATAAATGATTCCAGGTATGTTCATTAATAAATCAATTCAAAGGATAGAATTCGGCATTGTTTTGCTTCCTGCAACCGGCTTTTAAAGATCTGGTACTTTTTATAGGGTCTTCACATCAATGAGTATTTTATTATTTTGTGTTATTAAAATCTTCTTGTAACAGTGCCCTTATAACGAATCTTTCTGATATCATATTGAGTAATAAACATTAAATTGGACCGACCGTATCTACATCCTCATAATTTCCTTTTAGTTTAGCCAAGTTAAATATATCGATTTGAATCAATGGCGCTACAACTTTTTTAGGTCTGGGCCTCAGATTTCTGTATCTGTTTCATGGTCATTTGGTAATGTAATAGACCAGTAGGTGATCGGCCGTCTGTGTCTGACGCCGTTTGACTTTTTGGGTCTAAGGCAAGGTTTCCTCACGATGTTTTCCTTCACCGTTCGAGCGAATGTTAAATTCGCACATAGAAAGAAAGTCCATTGGTGCACAGCCGGGGATCGAACCTACGACCTCAGGGATGAGAGTCGCACGCTGAAGCTAGGCAAACACTGCTCTCAAAAAAATATATATATCGATTTACTGTAGAATAAACTTACAGTTACAGGGAAAACACAGTAAAACTCCGGTCACTCATGGAGGATCAGCCGCAGAGTGCATTAGATCGTGCGGTGTGGTGGACAGAGTATGTGCTGCGGCATGGAGGAGCGAAGCACCTTCGATCTGCGAATGCTAATATGTCCTGGATTGAGTACTATGAAGTAGAATTTGTACTAAAATTAGCTTTTCTTGTACTGCTTTCATTAGTGTTAGTCGTAGCTGTTTTGTACTTCACGTACATCAGTTTTGTAACGAAACAGAAACTAAAAACATATTAATAGGATATTAAAAATTCAGTGAAATACAAAATCTTAATTAGATTAAGGCATTGATTTAAGTATGTTCTTCAAGTCAACGTAATTTATTTTATCATTAAGTTCATAATATGTTCACGTAACATTTGTAAAGAAAACGTAGAATTACTAGCGAGCCTCGTATAATTTTTAATTTTATATATTTTGTATTTATATATTATGATAGATAGTACCCGTGACCCCAGAGCTGCCCTGCGATTCTGTAACTCACACAGCGGTTTTCGCATCGGCTGGCGGTCGCTCTCAAATCAGTCGTGAAGCAGTCATTTTATGATTTGGCATTCTGTTAAACAATAAACTACAAGCTCCCACCTTTTCAGAATGCCAAATCATAAAATGACGGATTCACGACTGATTTGAGAGCGACCGCCGATGCGAAAACCGCTGAGTGAGTTCGAAAAGTGAGTTACAGAATCACAGGGCTGGTGCTTTCCTCGCTCAACGAATAAGTATCGCAATACAGCGAGGAATTGCTGCCAGTGTTAAAGGTACACTGCCACAGGGATCTAACTTTATAAATTAGTTTTAATTTTTTTTTATTATTGCTATGTAGGTTAAGAAAATTGTAAATAGTGTATATTTGTGTGTTATGATTACTAAGAAAGATTTAAATATAATAAGTTGTACCTTATTTTTGAAAGTTTATATTTTGTAACGCATAACACTCTTTGTTTTTTTACTTTGTTCATAAATCACTAGTCTCACACACACATTTTTACCTTATTTGGAGAATGATAACCCGTGGCGACTTGCATCAAATCGGATTAGTACATGTGTAAACTAAAAAAAATTAAAAATGGAAACAATCCGTTGATCACTTATTACACTTTATTTTCCTTTGTGCATTTACTCTACTTCACTGATTGCAATATAACTATATAACTTCAGAGTTTCAACGATGGGTAACTCGTGCGCATATGCTACAGCTTGCTTTATATCTTTTTCCCTACTCCGACACGATCCCCCTCCGTGCTAAAATTTGACGTCAGTTCCGTTAAGCCTCAGAATGAATAAACTAAAAGAACATTATCATATTTCTTTGATTAAATAAATAAATAAACATTAAAAGCTAACACAAGTTACACGGAAGTAGCGGCGCGTACTCGCCGTATTTGTCATATGTTCTGAGTTAGTCTCGTGATTTACACTTTTTTTTTACATTTAAAAATTGTAGTGGGATTAAGAAGCGATAAAAAAGTATTTTCTTAGTAGGTATGATTTATTGGCAAGTGATAAACTAATATGATGTCTCATAACGTCCAAACGTATTTATGTTTTTATAAACGTACAAAATATTTTCTTAAACGTACAACACAGCATAGATAGCTTTCAACCGTTCGTTATGTTGCTATAACGCCTACAAAATATAACCGTTGAGCATTAGACTCTGTTTCAGGAGAATAATTGCTGATAGCTCAATTTCACTACGTCAAAGTAGTGACAATTCTGGGTAGAAATTTTATGGCACTACCCTATGAGGTCAGTAGAAATCCAAAACGGTTATCAAACGCAGCATCAGCTGATATCTAGATTTGAAGGATTATTTATAACAAAATTTCCTATGACTTTCCATAAAATAATTAAGAGACTTTCGAAGACTTTTTTGATCCTGATCCAGAGTTAACGCAAAGTCGCCTCAACGGTTTTTTTTCGTAGGCGTTATAGCAACATTACGAACGGTTGTTATCAATGCTGCCTTTTTTATAGTAAAACATATGCAATAGACATAATGAAATCATTTCAGAAGTTCTTTCTTGCAGTTGTTAAAACTATGTAAATTCTTTGGCTATTGTACGTTGTGAGGAAGGTAGAATGCCTGAAGCGACATCATTCACAACGATTGATTTGTTTTTTTTTTCATATTTGAGTCTTATATACGTTTTTATAAACATAATTTATTCTTTATGTTAACTTATAAATTTATGGTACGTTTTGTGTTACATACAATTCATAATCAGAAGCATGACCTTATTACCCCAAATGTATTTTGAATACCATCTTCTGACTTTCAAAATAAGAAAGCTATGTTATTAATTACTATATAATTGAAGCAATTTAAACAGCTCTTTGGGGTATATCAATTACCAGAGATCTATATACTACATATTTACATAACATCAATTTAAACGTTGGCAGTATTTTGAAATGGGGCCTATCAGAAATTCTGATATTAGAAATAAGAAATGCTTATTTTAGTATGTCAGCCGAACTCAGCATTGTACGTCGCATTACTTATATCTTAAGTAAAGAATTAGTTAGGTTTACCATAGATTTAATAAGAAATGGCTAAATATCGGCACAATTTTTAATTCGTTAACTAATCGGGCATTCAATTTGAAGCACATAATCGAAATGGAGAAATTGAGAGAAGGGAGTAGTGACTATTACTGTCCGTTCGAACATCGGTTCCATTCGCAGTATGTGCGCAGGAGATATTAAAGTGCACACACACTTTTTTTCATTATAAGAAAAGCAAAGGATGGATGCCTTTGAGATGTGGTGCTGACGGCGAATACTTAGAATACCGAGTGCAAAGCGCACCAATACATCGATTCTGACCCAACTCCGCATACGGACTCGCCTGTCTATATGCCTACAGATAATTGTATCTTTTTTCGGCCATACAATGCGCAGATGCGATGAGAATTTGCAGAAACTGATCGTGGTTGGTAACGCAGAAGGCAAAAGATCACGTTGCCGTTCACCAACCAGATGGACCGATTAAGTGTCTGTACACTGAGACTGTAGACTGTACATAAGAGAGGCGCTGGTCAGAAATCGGTAGAAACAGATAGTCCGCTCCAGATGCTTCCTTGCTGACCACGACGCTCAGACATTAGCTGCCGATTAAAGAGAGAGATAAGCTTTGCCAATAAATCACACTCTATACCGTAACTAATCTAACAAATTTTTAATTAAACTTGTGAACTCTACACATAAATTATGTTTAAAATAAATTTTCCATAGTTATTATAATATACATTTTTGAGAAAGGGCCCATAGATTCAGAGCCCGTCCCTGTGAATTAAGGAATACTTTGATTACATGAATATTTATTACCGTTGAGATCTAAGTTGTATACAGAAGTTTCAAACTTTACTATTACAGAGACAAGGCTCACTGATTGATTTGATGTCATTATAATAATGTTTTGGAGTACTTACATCCCCATGGAAATTGTAAATAGTGAAGTCAAAGTCAAAAATCATTTATTCATGTAGTTAACACAATGTACACTTATGAACGTCAAAATGAAATATATATTAAATGCTTCTAATCTTACATTTACTGCCAGTTCTCAAATCAAGGGCGTAGAACGGAAGAGAAGAATTGGCAATAAACTCTCCGCCACTCTTTTTAATCGGCAAGTTTTTTGTTTTACACAACGTTTGTAAGGAGCTGCTACCATTAAACCATGTTCCACATGACATCTTATGTAATGAATAATAATAAAATAAATTAAAAACAAAGATTCGTCCTCTATCAGCAAGAGGCATGGTGAATCTAATATATTTAACTCTACGTATTAATGACGATGAGCAACGAACAGATAGGCAACGAATTGTTGAGATACACCATTCGTTTTGGTTAACCTTGTACATAATATAATTCTAGAGCACTAGTGTTTAAACTAGGCCAGCCTTGTCTAAAAGTGTCATTAACAAATTGGTTAAGTTGTTTGTCATTAGAGGTTTATTCAGGTTAGATGGTTATTGTTTATTAAACTAAATGAAGATAGAATCTATATACAAGTGTTTGCATTTGGTTTCACCATAGTAAATGTGAAATTGGACAAAGATTTTTAAGTATTGTGAATGAGAAACTTGAAACGAGATTATGTTATTATGGAAACTTATATTTAGTGTTAAGATTTTCTATTTAAATTAAATTTTGAACGATTTTAGGGACTGAAATTAGAAATTTCAAAAGTGCCCATTTTATTTTATATTACCAAACAAGTTTTTTATTTCATTATATTTTTGAGTTTTTAGCCATTCAACCAGTTTTATTTTACATTCATAGATATTAAGGGAATAAATATTCAGGATTTTATTTAGCTTATTATACAACATGGGGCCTGTATAACATTGGTATAATTAATTACTTTGACCATGTAGAAATACATGCTACAACTTCCCAGGGGCCTGAGATCTGATGAAATTTAAGAGATGTTAAGCTATAGAAAAAATATATACAAAGTGTATCTGAAGATAATTGCGTCGTACTTATTATGACTTTAATAAATCACTGCTATTATATTCGTATAAACACGTGTTTCAAATATCTTATTAATATACAACTGTCCTATTTGTGTAATTAATTAGTATAAGCTCTGATAATATGTTGTAAGAATTGACATTAAGGAAATACGATTATAAAAGACATAAAAAAACGTGGCAAAGGAAATATAATTATAAAGTTTTATATATAATTATAAATAATTTATTTTCTTAAAAATATACATACAATAGCATTCAGTGTTATTTGTTCTATTGCAAGAAATAAAAAGGCTTTTTTATATTATTTCATTTATAAATATAAAATCTAATAAGCAATGTGGACTCGCGATTTGTTTAGTTTAGTTTAGTTGATAATAATGTTCAGAATGCGCAGGTTTATTGTAGTGTTTCTATTGTCAGTGCTAATATCTAAAAGTTATGGTGCTAGAATTTTGGCCGTGATTCCAACTGCGTCTATAAGTCATCAAGTAGTTTTCCGTCCTTTGACCCAAGAGCTAGCTAGGAGGGGTCATGAAGTCACCATCATCACTCCAAATCCAGCGTTCACAAAAGAAGACCGTCCGGAAAACTTGACAGAAATAGATGTGCACGATGTTACTTATTCATATATGAAGCCAAGTTTAGAGAAACTCAATGAAAGATTCGGAAGCAGAGAAACAATATTTAACGTCATAGAAGGTATGACAACGATGATGAGAAACTTTGTGGAAATACAAGTTCAATCGGAACCAGTACAGACTCTGATCAATAATACAGATAAGGACTATTTTGATCTGTTACTCATTGAAGCATGTGGGAGGCAGTATATTTCGTTCTCACATTTATTTAACGCGCCTGTTATTCTTGGAAGCTCGTTTGGTATGATGTTAGGTAATGCTGAGATTATCGGTGCTCCAAATCATCCATTTCTATATCCACCTTCGTTTCTTACCACTTTACCACGTTTATTGAATTTGACATTTTGGGACAAGGTGTCCGAACTGTATACCCAATATCGCCTAATGAATCTTTGGTATTCCCAAGAAACAAAGGAACGTGAAGTTTATGTTAAATATTTTGGTGAAGATATGCCAACATATGACGAATTATATAATAAGGTTGACATGCTTTTTTTGAACATTCATCCATTATGGAGTAATAGACAACCACTGCCGCCAAATGTGGTTTCAATGTGGGGAATCCATAAGAACCCGGAAAAGCCTCTTCCCAAGGTCAGTCATTATTATGCTTTAGTTATTGGAAACTAAATTGCTTGATTGCTTCTTCTTGGAACATATTGAAAAGCATAAATAGTACATACAAGTGCTGCAAACTAGGCTATAAAATATTTTTTTATAATTATTTAAATATTGGTTTTGAACAAAGGGTTGCTTTGAACGAAAATCACTGTAATAATGTTTGATTTGCCTTTTGGCAAAGCTCACAAGGCAAATTAAACATCTTTCAACAACACCGGAAAATATTTAGAAATAATTTTGAATTAGACCTTAGAACCAATATGCAAATTAATAAAATTATGTAGAGTGTAGTTATTAGAATTAAATTAAATTAGTGTTATATTATGAATCTGATTTCGATTTTTTTGCAGGAGCTACAATCATATTTAGATTCTTCTAAAAATGGTGTAGTTTATTTAAGTTTCGGTTCAAATGCTCGCTCCTCACAGTTGCCAAAAGAAACAATACAGATGTTCCTAAATGTGTTTGCCAAATTACCTTATGAAGTCCTATGGAAATGGGAAACAAATGAACTTCCAGGAAAAACGGACAATGTTAAAACAGCTCAGTGGCTACCGCAATCGGATCTTTTAAGTGAGTAAACAGTACAAATGGGTAAAATCCAACTCACGTTTAACATATAGCTAGTAACGAATTAATGTAAGGGTAAACAATTAAAACACTAATACATAAATTACAGGGCATCCAAATATAAAATTATTTATAACGCAAGGAGGATTACAATCAACAGATGAAGCACTCAGTGCCGGAGTACCACTTGTCGGCATACCAATGCTTGGTGATCAATGGTACAATGTTGGATTGTACGAATATCATAAAATTGGTCAGGCGCTTTATATGGAAACAATAACTGAAGAAAAACTATTACATGCTATACATACTGTCATTGATAATAAAAGGTGGGTATTGGTTGGTGGTGGGTATTTGAAACTAAATTTCAGGTTAACTACCGAAAGTAAGGACTTAAGAAAAATAAACAAAAGCTGAAAACTCTCTTGCGAGCCTTCTAACACAGTGAGTGTCTACTGTCTATGGGTGGTGGTAGCACTTTCAATCAGATGAGACTCCCGCCCGTTTGCTAAAAAAAAAGGTCTATCAGGATTTTGCTTCAATGGTTCCATAACAAAAAATAACGCCACTAATAATTTTCAAAAGACTTTTATTCATCACGATTGCACAATTAGACAATTAGGTACAGCCAAATTGATATATTGATAGAACAATGGATATTGATAATAATAGAAATTTACCAATCCAAATGTATTGTAAGCTACATTGTTTTAGGTTCCTGCAACTGTTTCAATCTCTCTCATATTCGTCTCATATTTTTGGACATTTTTCATTCACAAATTGTTGCGGTTCAAAAATATGTTCTGTGGGTTAAGGAGCGCAACACTTTCTATTTTCAAACTCTCAATTTTCTTTCAGTTACAAAGAAAACGTAATAAAACTTCGTGAATTATTGAATGATCAACCAGAGAGTCCTTTAGAGAGATCAGTGTGGTGGATAGAATACGTCCTGAGGCATGGTGGGGCGAAGCATCTACGGGCACCGAATGCTAACATGCCCATGTACGAGTTCTATGAAATAGAATTTTTACTTAAATTAACGGCGCTGGTACTTTTATCCTGTGTAGTAATTATTGCAACTTTGTATTATATGTATTTAGGATTAACTTCAGGCTTACGTAAGCCTAAACTTAAATCTTGTTAAAATATATATTTAATAATATTATATTTGTTTTATGTTTCGTACAGTAGTCAGCTTATTATACAACATTGGTATAATAGATTCCTTTTATACCAGACCATGTAGAAATACATGCCACATCAACTTGAAAGATTTAATATTATGATTGGAGAATATGGGAGCATGGGTTTTTGCCCAACACAAACATGTTCTTAAATCTTGACACATAATTATCTTATGAAACATTCTATTGAATGGTTTTTAATCTTCACCACACCACTCGTTTTGTACCTATAAAAATAATATTGGCCTAATTTATTTCTTAACAATTAAGTATACAGTATTTACAATTTTCTTAACCTACATAATAATAATAATAATTAAATATTTATCAATAGAAAATTAAAAAAAAATGGTCCCTGTGGCAGTGTAGGTACCTTTAACGCTGGCAGCATTTCCTCGCTGTATTGCGATACTTATTTGTTGAGCGAGGAAAGCACCAGCTCTGGGGTCAACGATAGGTACTATTTACCTGGCGCCAACTTAAATCTTTTATTAGCGCCTGTGCACTTAAACCCCACGGCCCAAGTTTATTATTTTCCGCCTGTTTATTTTTTGCTTGTTTATTTATTTATTTTAAATTTTTAGTACAATAATTGTATTTGTTATACATTAGGTTTACTCCAGTTATATCATTCTTATCAATTGAGATGCGCTCAATGACGCTTATCAATTATTGTAATTATTGTATGGAGTATGTCAACAATTGTTTCACATACTCCATACAATATTTGGGTTCACATTTTATATTATTTAATGGATATTCAATTCAGCTTTAAATTCGTGCGTTCAAACCCCCTCTGCGCAAGTTAAATATACAGCAACGGCGTGAGAAGTTCTCTAAAGTGGTTGACGGTTGTGTTTCACCAAGAAAATGGCCCCACGTACAAGTCCAGAGTTTGTATGGGTGTCATTCAAGAAACTGGCTTCGAACTATAATAGCTATAATGAACCTAGTTATAACTATGTGATTTCTATCTATTAACTGATTCATTGTGATTATTACCTACTTCCGCGGTTAAAGGGACTTCCCAGGGGCCTTAGATCTGATGAAATTTAAGAGATGTTAAGCTATAGAAAAAAATATATACAAAGTGTATCTGAAGATAATTGCGTCGTACTTATTATGACTTTAATAAATCACCGCTATTATCTATATATATCTATATATATAAAAGAAAAATGGTCTTCGTTTGAGGCTCTTTCACGCCTAAACCACTGATCGTATCGACATGAAACTACCGCCATTCGATGCGAAATTTTTCCTAGATGGTTTATGGCTATTTATTTATTAAATTCCAACGTTCCTTCATTTTTTTATTGCTGTTTTACTTTTATGAAAATTTATCCATACGGACTTCACCGCGGAAACATTCGGGGAGGCTTCCTAGAACCTCTAAACGTCAACATCTGTTAAAAACTCGATTTTCGAAATATTTCAATTTTCTTAGCGGGAAGTTAAAAAGAAGAATAATAAAAATATGAAAAAAAAAAAATAATGAAACATAAAATTTATTTTAATTCGTCCAGCAAAGCGGGCGCGAAACGGCTAGTATTCGTATAAACACGTGTTTCAAATATCTTATTAATATACAACTGTCCTATTTGTGTAATTCATTAGTATAAGCTCTGATATGTTGTAAGAATTGACATTAAGGAAATAAGATTGTAAAAGTCATAAAAAAACGTGACTAAGGAAATATAATAAGTTAAATATATAATTATTATAAATAATTTATTTTCTTAAAAATATACATACAATAAATAGTATTAAGTTTAATTTGTTCTATTGCAAGAAATAAAAAGGCTTTTTTATTTTATTTCATTTATAATTATAATATCTATTAAGTACTTTAATTATTATCTAATTAGCAATGTGGACTCGTGTTTTGTTTAGTTTAGTTTAGTTGATAATAATGTTCAGAATGCGCAAGTCTATTTTAGTGTTTCTATTGTCAGTGCTAATATCTAAAAGTTATGGTGGTAGAATTTTGGCCGTGATTCCAACAGCGTCTATAAGTCATCAAGTAGTTTTCCGTCCTTTGACCCAAGAGCTAGCTAGAAGGGGTCATGAAGTCACCATTATCACTCCAAATCCAGCGTTCACAACAGAGGACAGTCCGGAAAACTTGACAGAAATAGATGTGCACGATGTTACTTATACGTATTTGAAACCAAGTTTAGAGAAACTCAATGAAAGATTCGGAAGCAGAGAAACAATATTTAACGTCATAGAAGGTTTGTCAACGATGATGGGAAAATTTGTGGAAATACAAGTTCAATCGGAGCCAGTACAGACTCTAATCAATAATACAGATAAGGATTATTTTGATCTATTACTCATTGAAGCATGTGGGAGGCAGTATATTTCATTCTCACATTTATTTAACGCGCCTGTTGTTCTTGGAAGCTCGTTTGGTATGATGTTAGGTAATGCTGAGATTATCGGTGCTCCAAATCATCCATTTTTATATCCACCCTCTATGCGTCAACGATTATTGAATTTGACATTTTGGGACAAGGTGTCCGAATTGTATACCCATTATCGCCTAATGAATTTTTGGTATTCCCAAGAGACAAAGGAACGTGAAGTTTATGTTAAATATTTTGGTGAAGATATACCAACATATGACGAATTATATAATAAGGTTGACATGCTTTTTTTGAACATTCATCCATTATGGAGTAATAGACAACCACTGCCGCCGAATGTGGTTTCAATGTGGGGAATCCATAAGAACCCGGAAAAACCTCTTCCCAAGGTCAGTCATTATTATGCTTTAATTATTAGAAACTAAATTGCTCGATTGCTTTTTCTTGGAACATATTAAAAAGCATAAATAGTACATACAAGTGCTGCAAACTAGGCTATAAAATAATTCTTTATAATTTCACAAAGGTGGTGAAAAAAATCGCGTTGATAACTTCAGAGCTATCTCTATCCTGCCCGTAATGTCTGAAATTCTAGAAAGTCTAATTAATAACAGACTGACAACGTGCCTTGAAAATAATGAACTCCTTTCACCCTCCCAATTTGGTTTTCGTCGAGGAAAGCCCACAAGCAGTGCTGTACAAGACCTAGTAAACTCTGCAGTTTCTTTATTAGATGACAAAGAGAAATGTCTGGCTATTTTTATTGATATGGCCAAAGCATTTGATACTGTCTCCATCCCACATCTATTATCTAAACTAGAAATACTTGGCATTCGTGGTTTACCTTTAAAACTGCTAACAAACTATCTTAGTAATAGAAAACACAGAGTCAAGGTCGAAAACCATGTTAGTGATGAGTGTGAGGTTAAGTTTGGCGTGCCTCAAGGCAGCATCCTCGGTCCTACCCTATTTTAATCTACATAAATGGCCTCTGCCAGCTTAACTTACAGCAGGGCAAAATCTTCACCTTTGCTGACGATACCGCGCTTTTCTTCAGTGGAGACAACTGGAATGAGGTATTTCGTCTAGCTCAGATTGGCTTTCAAACAGTATCCAAATGGCTTCATCACAATATCTTAACGCTAAATGTATCTAAAACTAAATTTATGACTTTTGCCAGGAGATCAAATCAACTTCACCTCTTCGCTGGCCTTATACGCTTATGTACCAAACTGTAACTGCAATATCTCCCAGATCATTTGTCCTAATCTTCAAAGGACTGACCACTTCAAATACCTTGGTGTCGTCATCGATCAAAAATTAAATTTTAGCAGGCACGTCGAATCCCTGGTATCAAAATTACGTAAACTTATTTTTGTCTTTAAGAATCTCAAGCACATCGCTGATCGCAGCGTCCTTAGGATGGTATTCTATGCCTTATGTCATTCTTTGGTTGTGTATTGTATACCCTCGTGGGGAGGTGCTGCCAAAACATACCTCATTGAGGTCGCGAGAGCTCATCGTGCTATCTTGAAAGTAGGTGCAGGACTCCCCTTTCGCTTTCCCACAGCTGACTTATATAAGGATTGGGATGTATTATCCGTTAGACAAACTTTCATCCTGTACACTATTCTTACAAAGCATTCTGAGATAGAATACGATCATAAACTTGTAGATGGAAGGCGTAGAAAGGATTCCGTATGCCGTCCTCAACTTTTCAAAACAGCTCTTTCCCATAGTTCGTATTGCTTTCTAGGTACCCATTTATACAATAAACTTAACAAAGACCTCCAAATTTATCATCTCACAAAATACAATTGTAAAAAAGTAGTAACTAAATATCTCAAATCGCTAGATTACCAAAGCACAGAAAATCTATTACGACCCCTAATTTAATTTAATAAATGGAACGTTTTTTCTCGCCCACACTAGTCTCAATTTAGCTCAATCGCACACGCACACGCACTCACACTGACCCGTACACTCACACACACACACACACACACACTCACAAATGCTTTAACTTTTTTCTATCTATTTTTTTTTTATATATATACTGCTCAAAACAATTAGCGGAACAAGATTTTTCTCCTTTCTATTGCTTAAACTAAAATTAGATTTAAATTAACTTGTACGCTATTTTTTACCTTGTTAATTTGTTAATTACTACAATTAATAAAAAAAAACAATTTGTATTTTTTTTATTAAAAAAAAATTAAAATGTGCATTGTAGACGAAAAACAAAGTGACGTCTTTGAATTTTCATTACTTTCTAATCACAGAAAACACATTTTAAGTAGGTTTTTTCAATCTTTTGAGTATTAATAGAAATTGAAGTGAGCCTTTTGAGTATTGTTATTCATTCAAGCGAGTGAGTTTAGGTCATAATGCCAGATCTGACTGAATTGCATGTCTCCCGAGCTATCGCTTTGCTTGAAGAGGGTCGAACTATGCGTTATGTAGGAAATGATCTAGGAGTAGCCCCTTCTGTTATCTACAGACTTTGGAAGCGATATCGTGAGACGGGAGAATACTCACGAAGGCGTGGTCAAGGTCGAAAGAGAAAAACTACACGTTTGCAAGATCGCTAC